TTTTCTGCAGGTCCCTGCAGTTTTCTTGGCATTTTTTTTCAGAAGTGGTTTGCCATTGCTTTCTTTCTAGGGTTAAGGGAAAGTGGCTGGCCCCAGGTTACCCAGCTGGTTTTGTGCCTAAGGTGGGGCTTGGACTCAGAGCCTTCCACTTTCTAACTGGAGTAACTAAACTGACTATTTTCAGTATAGTTTCAAGAAATCAATAAAGTCCACTGAATCGCAGGCATCTTCTGGCTAGTTACAATAGGATTTCTTGATTGCAAGATGAGAAAAAGCAAGGTAATCTGAAATGAGCGTGTGTAAAATGTTAAGAAATCTATGCTGACTAAAAAAAAAACCAAAATGAAGACATGATTCATCAGAAATATATAAAGGAATAAACTCATGACATTATTTTTGGATATCCCCTGGTCTATATATATATCTGGACTGACTGTGATTTAATTACTACAATATAGTTTGTGTGATGCTGCCCTTGAAAATACTTTAAAAATTCCTAAAAATTCTAAATTGTAGATTTTGTGAATCCAAAGAACAATGCTCTGATCCATCTCAATTCATCTCTGATTCAATCCTTATATGGCCATTCTCTTGAACCAAACTGTAGGTTACTCACAACTCATTTCAGGGCGTACTGTTTGGGGGTATTTGCAATGAGATATGAATGTGGATGGATCTTTATACCTGTGTTTCTTGATCTTGAAAGTAGTACCAGTATAGAAACTTTACTTTCATCTTTGAATTTCTTTACCTGGATCAAAATGCTGTTAGCTATATTTCAATGTACTTACCTTTCATCTTCGCCAGTCTGATGCCCCTTGTTATACTGACCATCTCAAAATCACCCCAGTGCTACTTTTTTGTTAGTTCATACATATCGAAACAAATGCTGTTTATATTGTTTACTATTCACTTTCTGAACTAAAGCTTCCAGTTGTTCACATATTCACACATCTACAGAATGAATCCTTTCCCAATTAGAGTCTAACTGGCAGCTAGACTAATTGGAGTACCAAAAGAATTGGGATAGTACTTTATCAGAAATGGTGTAGGGTCTCCTGCTTGGGTGGAGGATTGGACTAGATGACCTACAAGGACCCTTCCAACTCTGTTAAAAAACTTTTCTCCTTTCAGAAAAAACTGCAGTGCAAGTATAATACAAACTTGCAAGGACAACAATCCCATACATTTTTACACTTCCCAGCTTGACCATATTAACGCTTTACTCACAACTGCCTGAATGCCTTATTTCATCCAGTTCACATGAGATTATTTGGAGAATAAGCTGTTACATCTTTTCATTCTGGAAGGTATCCATGTGCTGCCTAAGCTGAAAGTTTCATGGGCAATTTTCTGCATTTTGGCCTTTTGATTTGAATGAACTCTACATGTTTCATCTTTCATACATCTCTATTCACAAAAATACATGGCTAGAATCCCTGGGAATCGTAGTGCCAGATTTCTGCAGAGCTGCCATATTCAAGGCAATAGGCAGGCACAATTATAATTTGTAGCAAGTTTATAAAACTATACCAAATATTATTTGTATGGTGATATTGTATAGTGATATTATTTGCCCAGAAAGGAAACGCAGAACCACATTTACCATAATAAAGCCATAATAGAGACAGAATTCCGGAATAAACAACAAACTATAAGTTATAAACCTTGAACATTTTTGATGAGGAAGCAAATTATTTATGAAGAACAAATGACCGATACCAACTGAAAACTTAAGAAGTTCTTGATTTATCAGCACTGTGGACCTTGATATTGGCAAATTGCTCTGTTGAATTAGGGGGTGTGAAGAAGACATGTATCTTTTCCCAATAATGTCTCACTGCTATAACAGCTTTATGCACAAATGATTGTGATAGAAGAAAGGCCAAATAAGGGACAATTCTCCCATCAGCAGGATGGAAAACTGCCTTGCAGCTTCCCAATCCATCAGTTCTCTGTGGCTGTCAAAGCTATTTCTGTTGGAATTTATCATTTGATATCATCTATGAAAGTCTGACTCACCGAAGAACACTATACAGAAGCCTGATGATGGCAGATGAGATTCTGCTGAAACGTTGCTACAACTTTAAAAGCACAACTATAATGATGTGGGAAAATACCCAAACAAAGCTGAATGCCATATATATATATTCATATATATATTTCTGAGGTTCTCGTGGGTATTTGTATGTGGATCTTTGGTTATTTGGGTTTTCTCCCGCCTAAGATTGGCAGTATCTAGGCAACGTTTCGATGAAGTCTCATTCATCATCTTCAGGCTTCTTTCTTCGGCTCTGTGCTTCTCAGAGGTTGAGCTTCTTTTCCTCAATACTTATTCATTTAAAGGGGCAACACATTGTTTTCAGGAGGTTTTTTTGTTGTTGTTGTTTTGCCTTCCACATCAATTCCTTACAGGCTTGCAGGAATAGGTATGTCTAGTGCAGAAGTGGTATTCAGCAGGTTCTGACCAGTTCTGGAGAACCGGTAGCGGAAATTTTGAGTAGTTTGGAGAACCGGCAAATCCCACCTCTGACTGGCCCTGCGCCCATCTATTCTCTGCCTCCTGAGTCCCAGCTGATCAGCTGGGTCTTCTTTTGTTGCCCTGCACAGGAGAATGGAGCTGGAAAGCAGGTTAGTGGGGTGGGGAGGAAATGGAGATTTTGCAGTATCCTTCCCCTGCCACGCCCACCAAGCCACGCCTACAGAACTGGTAGTAAAAAAAAATTGAATCCCACCATTGGTCTAGTGCAATGAAAAGAAGGATTAGGGGTGACATGATAGAAGTGTTCCAATATCTAAAGGGCTGCCACAAAGAAGATGAGCTCAACCTATTCTCCAAAGCACCTGAGGGTAGGACAAGAAGCAACAGGTGGAAAGTAATCAAGGGAGAACCTGGAAATAAGGAGATACTTCCTGACAGAACAAATAATCAGTAGAAGGGCTTGCCTTTAGAAGTTATGGGTGCTCCATCAGTAGAGATTTTCAGACAACTATTTGCCTGAAACACCTGCTTAAGGAGTGGGTTGCACTAGAAAACCTCCAAGGTCCCTTCCAATCTTCTGTTACTTTGCCTGAGATAGAAATACTCATGGATTACACACACTCTGAAACACAAATTAGGTTTGGTTCTGCAACCCAACAAGACAAACACAGACTTCAGAGAGTAATTACGACTGCAGAAAAAACAATTACTACCAACCTACCTTCCATTGAGGACCTGTATACTGCACCAGTCAAAAAAAGGGCTGGGAAAATACTGTATTTACTGACCCTTCACATCCTGGACATAAACTGTTTCAACTCCTATCCTCAAAACGACACTATAGAGCACTGCACACCAGAACAAGTAGACACAAGGACAGTTTTTCCCAGAACATCACCTTTCTGCTAAACAAATAATTCCCCCAAAACTGTCAAAACATTTACTAAGTCTGCATTACTATTACTATTAATCCTCCCATCCTTCCTTTCACCCATCTCATCTGACTTATGACTGTATGACTATAACTGTCGCTTGCGTTCTAACGATTTTTATTGACTGTTTCCTAGTATGATTTGATTGCTTATTGTACCCTATGACTATTATTAAATACCTTATGATTCTTGACTCTTGACAAATGTACCTTTTCTTTTTTGTACACTGAGAGCATTTGCACCAAGACAAATTCCTTGTGTGTCCAATCACACTTGGCCAATAAAGAATTCTATTCTATTAAACTATAGTATGAGAAGATGCAGTTCATTAATATGGAGCCCATTAAATGGCTTATATGAATACATGTTGTCCCCAGAATAGGGTAGGGGGCTATTATTTTGTTATTTTGTATTATTTTATTATTTTTATTTTTACATGATATTTTTATATTTGTTTAAGCCGCCTTAAGTTGCCATGGGCAAATGGGCGGCAATATAAATTTTCTAAAATAAATAAATAAATAATGACCCTTAAATGATGCCTCCAGAGGAGCCATCTGAGATCAGACTTCTTTTGATAAGGCTGGCCCTGTTTCTAATGCTGGACTATTTACTGTATGACAGCAAGTCATTTTCCAAATACTTCACAGAATCCAGATCTTGTTCTCTCCTTGAACCTGGAGTTTACACTCTAACTACAGGCCCTCTTGCTCTTTTTCTCACCACAGAAATAAATAGAACCCACCAACTGACACAAATCTTTGCCATAGCAGGAGTCTTTAAAAAAAAAAAAGCCTACAGATTAGTGTTTATACAACCTGTCAGAGACTGAAGCCACAAAGATGATGGAAAGTTTTCTCCAGCTGTGTGAAACCAACCTTTTGTCTAGCATCAAAACCAGCTGGAGAGAAACTCTTGGCAGGTTGTTTATCTTAGCAGACAATCCCCCATTTGAGGGCTCATCACTATTCTTGCTTGTTAAAAAGCATAAAGTCTCCTCTGTGCTTCCTAATTTTGCTTCAGATGAACCTTTACAATCATACCCCCAACAGGAAGGGAAGCTGCCTCAGACAAAATAATTTGCTATCTTTGCCTGATCACATAAGTACATTTAGGATGGAGAGAAACGTAGACTTATATGGCAAAATATTGAGATATTAAATACTGTTTTGAGATTGTACTGTGTCTTAAAAAACAACCATTACTTTGAAAAGGCTGGTATCTTGATACAGTAAATAATATGCCAAACTGATAGCACTGGATAGTAAAATGACTAATTTACACAAAGGAGGTTTTTCTTCTTCTTCTCAGATGTGAAACGCATCCATTTATTCACCAAACCACAAACATGCTCCCCCTTGGAATGAGTAAGAAAATGGGTGCAAAATACTAGAAGGTGTAATAAGAATTCTGTTTCTTTTTAATAGTTGTTTTTATTAAAGATCATAATTACACCAGTAAAAACTAATACAATCTAAAACATATATATAAAATAATAGAAATAATAGAAAGTGCAGCAAAAAGAGGAAAAAATAGAGAATGGAGAAGAGGAAAAGAAAAGCAAGAATATAATAAAGAAAATATATATCTAAGGAAGTGACTTCTAAACTTCAAGGTAATTTATCCCCTCCTTGTAAAATGTACAAAATGATCTCTTCTTCTCATTTTCATCTCTTATCTATAAAGAAATCTAGCACACAGGCATTTCAGTCTGAGTGTCAGCAAAAGTCCATTAAAGTTTACCAGAAATAACTCCTCTATTATCAGTCAACCTCGCTCAAATAAACCAACTTTATATTCCTTCCTTGCCTCTAACAATTTTAATCATTATTCCATTCAAATAACATCACAGAACTTAATTTATTTTTTATTTTTTGTCCCTTTCTCAGAAGATTCCTCTAACCAGCTTCTTCTGTAAATTTAATATAGGTTACTCTCTTAGTTTATTGTTTCTATATCCCTTTTAATTATTAAAATGTCAGCCAGTCTCTTTTGTATGTCCAGTATAATATCTTTTTCCATATAATTCTTCTAGCCTATCATTTGGAAATGTACTTTCAACTCAGTCTCAGTCTTGTCAGGTAAAACCTGTTCCTCTTCCATAATATCTTTTAGACACAGTTTCTCCATAGAGGCAGATGTCTGTGTTGACAATATTAATACCAACTTCAGGGACCATTTTTTTTAAAAAAAATGCTTTAATATGTTCAATGTTAGAATTTACTTCATTCTGTAATTGTAGGTTTGAGTATTCTTTTAATTACAGGTAATCCTTGACTTGCCAGCATAATTGAGCCCAAAATTTTTGTTGCTAAGTGAAAGATTTGTTAAGTGAGTTTTGCCCCATTTTATGACATTTCTTGCCATATTTGTTAAGTGAATCACTGCAGTAATTAAATTAGTAATATGATTGCTAAGGGGATCTGGCTTCCTCATTGACTTTGCTTGTCAGAAGGTTGCAAAAGATGATCATATGACCCCAGGACACTACAACAATCATAAAAATGAACCAGTTGCAAAGATTCATCATGGGCGGTTTTGCAATGGTTATAAGTGCAAAAAATGGTCATATTTTTCAGTGCCGTTGTAATTTTCAACAGTAACTAAATGAACTGTTGTAAGTCGAGGACCACCTGTACAATCTTTAGTTTCCTCTAATGTCCAGTTTTTAACATTTTATTTTTAAAAAAAAATCAAAACAAAGGCATTTTCTATGGGTAGGATACATTATAATTAATTCAAAATTCTTGTTTCAAATTTATTTGGCCCCCTAGTCCATTTGTAACTTTCTAAAATCAAAGTTTTAATCAGATTTTTTTGTTTATTCCAAAAGAAAGTTCTTTAACCTGTAGTTAAAACTTAATTTTGCTAATGATTGAACACAAACTCACCTGATGCTGTCAAACTTGATAATACAAAAGTTTCCATTAGCTGAAAAGCAGTTAACAAGCAATTTCCAAAAATGTTTAGAAAAGGAAGTGTGGGTTCTTTCAAAAGTGCCAAGTGCAGTTTGAACAAGATAACTATTCCTTAGTCTCCCTGGTCATTATATCCCTTTGGAGACTTCTACTTTTTGGTCTCCTCATGAAGAGCAATCATCTAGAACAGGGGTCTTCAACGTTGGCCACTTTAAGACTTGTGGACTTCAGTTCCCAGAATTCCTCAGCCAGCAAAGCAGTGTAAAGCTGGATGAGGAATTCTGGGAGTTGAAGTCCACAAGTGTTAAAGTGGCCAAGGTTGGCGACCCCTGATCTAGAACACTTGTGGGCAATTTCAGGTCCTTTCCTTGTCCAGAAAAGTTGAAAGAGGTGGTCTACTCACCAGCTGTTTGTTCTTTGCTACAGTCATGGGCTCCTCTTTTTATGGATCCATTTCAGTCTTTCTTCTCTGGCAGAAGAAAGGAGAAGGAATAATAAAGAAATCATACAAGTCACTGAGAAAAAGAATTAATTAAAAATACAGGTGTTTTTTTCTTCATCCCACTCATTCATCTTTTGTTCAGAACTCAGGAGATAACTTTTGAGCATAGAAGAAAAAATAAGAAAAACAGCCTGAAGAGTCTGGGTGTGCTGGTGTCAGCTTGCACCTAAATCATTTAAGAGTGACAGATGTGGACAATCATCTTCATTCAATTTATATAGGGCTTCTGGGAAGATGAAATGGAATACCTCCCGAATATATGAGCATCTTTGAGAAAAATCAGGACACTATCTTGTTGTATCTACTTAGCCAGGGACCAGAGGACCAAACTTTTTAAACCTCTCCACCCATATGACACTTTGATCTCAATTATCCTTAACTAACTGGAATATATAGAAATTACTCCCATCTATGCTGGGAGTAGAGGAAAGATGAGGAAAGAAAATTGATATAAATTTTACTGCCCACACAACCTGTCTTTGTCACATCTCAGCAACAAGACCAGATAGCAGTGCTGTCCTTAAACTTTGGGCTACCTGGCTGTTTCAAGACAGAGACTAATAGTCACCCACCTAATATCACCTATTTAAGGAAAAAGTAACCACCAACCATTCTCGAGCATCTGATAGGGCAGGATTGAAGGGGCAAAGTATATTATTTTTACTTAGACTTTTTTTGTTGTGCTTGTGAGAAGCTGACATGGAATAATGTGTAAGATTTTTAGATAGCAGCCACAGAAGTTTATTATTCCTATGTTAACCCCACCCCTGCTCCAAACACCTGCCTGAGTGATTGGAAGAATCCATTCAAAATAGACAGCAGGAAGTCTGAATCAAAGAGTTCTCAGTCCTGTTTGTGTTTCTGGATCCTCTCCCCTCACCCCATTTCTCCTTCCACCCAATCTTAATCAACCTTGATCAAGCAAAGAGACTCCTCTTGCTCAAGCCCACACCACATCCATGTATAGGGGGCGTGCATAAGCGCACCAACGTGCCTACCATCCCTGTCCTATTGTTTCTTTTTATTTTTCTTATATGTATCCATTTCATGTATTCATAACTATGTTTATCTTATATATTTGTGTGTCTATTTGTCACACATGCTTCCCTGTTTTAGATTTTCTCACTACATACATACTTCTTGTGCCATATCCATCATTGGATGTTGACAATTATGTTGGCAATCCTATTTTTATCAACAGCTGCACGAAAAAAGTGCTGTTGAGGTATGTGTATATTGTATGTTACATACATACAAACATATACAATGTACACATAGTTCAAATAGGATTTCAGATGGACAAGTCTACCAGTCTTCGGAGAGGATGACATTTCCACATGGCCATTCAACTGAAGCTAAAGCCAAAATAACGCCTTGGAGGCCCGGTGCCCAGTGGACAGGGAAAGGGCATTTCTGCAGCGAATTTCCACAGCCAATCAGAGTTGAGTAGAGTTGAGCAGATCACTGTCCTTGAATGCATCATCTAAGTTTCACTCTTAAGGGTCCTTAGATTGTTGACACAGGAAGTTTTATCCTGGAAAAAAAAGAAAAAGAAAACACCACTTCCAACTAAGGTCTCAGTTGTCTAGTAAGGAAATTAGATTGTCTCAGTTGTCTAGTAAGGAAACACCAACGCACCTCAAAAACAGCAAAGCACCTTCATGCCTCCACAAGCAGGAATGGGAATTAGTTGTTAAACTAATAATTCATTAACCTCCCAATGAAGCTTGGAGAAATTATATCTATCGATAGTGTGTCAAGTAATTATCAAGGGAGGAACAAAGCTTGTGATAACAGTGGGTGCCTCAGTAAAAATGTCAATGTTGTGCATGACACTGGTAAAAAGAAAAGTTTATAATCTACGCAAGGAATGGTTGAAGATTTTTTTTTTTAAAAAAAAACAGAAAACAAAATGTAGCTTAAACTAGGCAGATAATGTTGATGCTACATAGGCATCCTTTTGCCCACTGTCAAAAAAGACCATTGTAAAGCTACTAATCTGCAGGTTACCCATATTTAAATGACACCAAGGGCCATGTTGGTTTCAAAATTGTGGGACTTACAGTTCCCAACACATTTGGGGAAAGTTGATTTTTGACTAGTTGGAACACGTTCAGTATGAACTGCTTAGGGGCTCTTTAGATTAGCAAGTGATAGCTAAGAGATGGTGTGGCTGAATGGAGCTTCTCTCTCTTTCTCACAAAGCTAGAACAAGAATCGCTATCACCTGTGGTGTCAAACTAGGGCACTGCCTGTGGGGCAAAAGTTCCAGGGTGCCTCCTTCAGCTTAATTCTTTTGAGGATGCTGCAGCTGCAGCTTAAAAGATCATTTACCGGATGACAGTCTGTAGGATGCAATCAATCAAGGCTTCTTCTTCTTTTGTTCCTATTGGTTACTCAACCATGAAGAAGTAGTAAAGAAATCTGTACACACACACACACACACACACACACACACACACACGCATAAACAATCAGAAAAAGGAAGATATAAAGAATGCTGCACACATATTCACACCCTCTCCACCTGCCAAGATAGATAGATACTAAGATTCAGACCCCGCTATTCCCTTTCAAGAATATATAAACGTAAAATGATAGGGTACTTTTATTTCAAGGATGGCAGCAAAAGCTTTGAAACTAGTATGCTGAAGACTATATATCCTGGTAACCATGTATATTTTCTCTGTAGGATGTATTAGATCAAGACAATTGCATTATAAAGACTGAGCTCCCATATTCCTATCTAATAGCCATGACTCCGTTTGCCTCTAATTTTCTGGTATAATTTTAAAACTTTGCAAGGGATTCAAGTATGTATATTCAAATGCCTTGCCTGGGAAACCAAGATGAAGAGTGTGTTAAGAGCGATGTTTGAAGTCTTAACCAGATAGCTTAAAAAAAAAAAATCATTCACCCTAAGCAATAATTTATTTATTTATTTGATTTGATTTGATTTGGCAATTGCTTACAAGATAATAGATATAAGTATAAACATGAGTAAGAATACAGGAAATAGGTACAAATAAATGGGGACACTAGGACAGGGATAGTGCACTTATGCACACCCCTTACAGACCTCTTAGGAATGGGGTGAGGTCAATAGTGGATAGTTTAAGGGTAAAGGAGTAGGGATTTGAGGATGTAATAACAGAGTCAGGCAGTGCATTCCAGGCATTGACCACTCTGTTGCTGAAGTCATACTTTCTGCAATAAAATTTGGAGCGGTTTACCTTGAATTTGTATCTGTTGTATGCTCTTGTATTGTTGCAGTTGAAGCTGAAGTAGTCATTGACTGGTAGGACATTGTAGCAGATAATTTTGTGTACTATGCTTAAGTCCAACTGTAGGCCACATAGTTCAAGGTTGTCCAAGCCCAAAATTTCAAGCCTGGTGGTATAGGGTATTCTGTTGCGAACAGAGGAGTGTAGTACTCTTCTCGTGAAATACTTCTGGACTTGCTCAATTGTATTAATGTCTGATATACAGTGCGGATTCCAGCTAGATGAGCTGTACTCGAGTATTGGTCTAGCAAAGGTTTTGAATGCCCTAGTTAGCAATTCAATATTTCCAGAGGAGAAGCTTCATAAGATTAGATTGACAACTCTTAATGCCTTTTTGGCAATGCTGTTACAGTGAGCTCTAGTGCTTAACTCATTAATATGATGGTTTCAAGATGTGCCTCTCTCAGGCCTGTCTTTTTGACCACTGCCATGAGAAGATGCTCCCAAAGTGTCACATTTCCACCTCCTGCTTGATCTTCTCTTGATCTTCAGAGGACCAGAGGGTAGCACTTACAAGGAGATAAATAAACAGAGATTTGCAAGTTTTGTTTCATATAAGACAATGATTACAAGGGGTTTCTTCTGAAAAAGGATTTCTTGAAAGTAAGCTAGTTTTCTATATGCAACTATGCATAGAATATATGCATAAAAGAAGGAGCATATATTCTAACTGTTATTTTAACTGTGTGAGATCACAGAAAATGAACATCAAACTAAGGATGGGTATTAACTAAATAACAAGATCTACAGCAGAATAATCTTGAGCTCTTCTAAGCACTGTTCCTCATTCTTTTCATTCTGCACTCCATATGTAACCAGGAATAAAGGTATTGTTTTTAAATCAACACATTTTTTTTTCATTGGCCAGATGTTAGTGAAAGACAGGACTTGATTTCTCCAGTGGGTGGGTCTAGGGCAGCAATCAATGGACAGAAGCACACTGTTTTCTTTCTGAAATTTTATCCTTTCTTTAATATCTCTTTATCTCTCTCGCTCTCTCTTCACATTTAGCGAGCTTCTGCAGATAGACTGGTGATCAGATCACACACAAAGTTACTAATGTCTCTTCTGAAAACCCATCTCTTCAACTTTCCATTTATCCATGATACCAATTTTCTTTCCATGAATACATTATCTGAATAAACCCGGCATTGTTCACAATTCTAACTTTCATGTTCAAATTAAATATGTCCAAGAAACATATGAACACAGAGATATCAACAAGAAAGATGGTTTTGTCTATCACCTAACCCTCCATTTGAAGTTAAGAAACGGGCTTGACTCTCTTCCCCTTTTCATGCACACCCCTTTAGGAGGAAAGGATGCCGAGATGCCAAAGTGATCCGTTGAGCAACATCTTGGGAACATGATGATTTCCTCCTTATGAAGTTAGATTCAACAAATAATTCAAGGCTGGGGTGGAGGCATCCTGTAGGAAAACACCTTCCCATCTCTTGTAATCTCTACAGAACAGATCGTAGCAGCAGCCAATTCTTTTTTTCTTCTTCTTTTAACACTATTAAAAGGCTTCAGATTTGTGCCAGCATAGCGACGGCTGAAATATTCCAGCAATGCTGAGTATGAAGGGAGGGCGTTAGTCTCCTGCGTCAGGCACACACATGCGCTAAATCTCCTCGCTTATCCTTAGAGACCAGAGTTTAACGCGCAACGTTCCCAAATGTCACCGAGTTGGACAGCAAACAACGCTCATTAAAAATTGTCCCGAGTGGGCTCCGCTCACCTTTGAAGCCCTGACCGATCCCACCTCGCAACGCAGTCACAAACAGGCCGAAGTTTAAGGGTGCCTGTTTGCGCAGGTTGACTTCTTGCCAACCGTTGCAAAATAAGGCAATCGCCAAAGAAGGGCGAACGCAATTCGTTCGGGTTCCTCAACTTTCTCTTTCTCTCTGTCGGTTTAAGAGGCCGGTAAAGACAAAGCGGTTTGGAAATTGAAGCGCGGTCGACGCGCAGGAGACGCGGTTGGGGCGAATCAATTAATCAAGGCTGCAGGTCTGGGCGGAGAAAGTGGAGGCTCGTGGGGAGGGGGGGCTGGCTGGAGAGGGAGAGGGGTGGGTGGGAAGGGAGAGGGGGGGGGAGCGAGAGAGCATGCGTTTGGGGCTTGTGCACCTACCCATCACTCCAACACCCTCCTTCAAATCAGTCCCCAGTTCCTACCGAGTTCGGAGCTGCGCGGCTGCCCGCAAGGGTGCTTCTAGGAGGAAAGCAAGAGAGGCAGGGAAGCTCTCTGATCTTGCTCCAGAGACGAACATCGGATGACAGCTCCAGCACGCCGAGGGAGGGGAACGCAGCTTCGCCGCTAGAGACAGCCGAGCTTGCAGCTTCCCCGAAAGGTCAGGAGCCGCGCAGCAGCGGCCGGAGGCGAGGGAGCGACTCTCCGGACATCCCCCCGCGCAAAGAGAGAGCAGAGCCCGAGCGCGAGAAGCGAGAGCCTTGTCTCACCCACCCACCCTCCGCCCCACCCTCCGCCCCTTTAACCGAGGAAGGACGCGCCTGGGCAGAGCTGGAAAGGGGAAGCCGGCGAGGGCCAGGGCAGTGCAAGGAGAGGTCTGCTGCTCGGAGCTGAAGATGCTGCTGCTGCTCCCGCTGTGGCTGTTGCTGCCGGAGTTGGCCCTCCTGGCGCCGGCTCAGAAGTTTTCAGCGCTCACGGTAAGGCAGCCCAGCTGACCCGGCGAGCCTCCGGCTGTTTCCTTCTCTTCCCTCCCTTCCCTAAAATTAATTAATACGGAGTGAACCCTCCGCGACTTGGGTATCCTCTGCCAGGCATTGTAAAGTAATGTGGAGCAATGACGTTTATTGAGTTTGTGTTCGGGTTAAGGACGCGCCAGTGCTGCATTTTAGGATTGATTTCATCCAATTTGGTTCTCCCTGAAAGTGGGCCAGCCAAACCCTCCCGCCGTCCTTCGCGTCGGGCCAGCCAAACCCTCCCGCCGTCCTTCGCCCCACGCTGGCTACCGGCTTCCCACCCACCAGGACACTCTCGCTGAGCTCTTTTGCCCAAGCGGGAACCTGCCCTTGCAGTCGGGGGAAAACGGCGACTTCGCTGGTCTCGGTGCCCAAAGTCTAAAAGGGTGTCCGCTGCTTCCACGCGTGCCTCTCACGTGTTGGCTGAAACAAATCCTCACGCGAGGGGATCGGCTTGTTTTTTAAAGCAAAAACAGGACTCCTGTCCTTCATGTGAAATCTAAACCGCCGCCCTCCTTTCAAACGTGAAAATAGTAATTGTGGCTTGTAGATCTTCCACCCTTCTTCTCCCCATTCCCACCAGGGTTGGTAACCTTCCTTTGATAGGATACATTTTCTAAGCAGAAATCTGAAAATTGGCATCGTTCTTAAGAGCTCCTGTGCGCACAGACATGTTTGTTTGTAGTTAGTTTGGTACTTTCCGCGATTTTTTCATAACTCTCTTCCCACGACCAAGGGGAAATCACTTGGGTGTCGATTTCCCGGTGCCAAATGGGCCACTGATACTTACATCCAATCTTCTCGGAGAGATTGAAGGAGCATTTAATAAGATTAATTAATACTGAGTAAACCCTCCGTGACTTGGGTATCCTCTGCCAGGCATTGTAAAGTAATTTGGAGCAATGCAGTTTATTGAGTTTGTGTTCGGGTTAAGGACGCGCCAGTGCTGCATTTTAGGATTTATTTCATCCAATTTGGTTCTCCCTGAAAGTGCTTGGAGGAAGTGCAAGTGCAAGTGCAAGTGCAAGTGCAAGGAAAGTGTGGTTTGGGTTTAGCAGCTTGCTGGAAATCCTCGGGGAATTAGGCTCCCGGTTGCAACCTAATTGTTTTTTGGGGGAGAAAAAAAAAGGCGGGTGGGACAGAGTGAACTACAGATTTAAGAGTCTGAAACACTGGTCCTAAACGCAATGAGTTGAAATACAATTAAATGTTCAAAGAATTTAGGGCAATTTACTCCAAAGCAAACCCGCTTGGAATCATGCAGCTTGGCGATAGAGTTAACTCCAGTGAATGGGATTCACTTTCACTTTCTAGGTTGATGCTCCCTGCTTAATTTTTTTTTTTTAAGGAGAGTGAATAGGAAGCAAACTGGTGCTGAATAGGCTTGATAAAAATCCAGCTTCAGGACTGTTAAGTTATATAGCTACTGGGTATGATACAAAGAAACCTGGCTGTGCTTCTCTATGCTTTTCCAAAACTCAGTAGAACTTTTAAGCATCAAGTCTAATGAATGAATGACTCTAATGTCTAATCCAAGAGCAACTTTCTTTGAGTCACTTCCAATAGATTTAACATAGCACCAAATGATTACAGTATTTCTCGAAATATCAATTCACCAGGTGTTTGGACTTGTTTTGTGGGAATGGCATGGATGTTCATTTCCCATTAATGCACTGAACATTTGTTGAAATTGTGGGCAGAAATCCCAGCTATTCTTAGTAATGTCCCTTCCTTCTAAGCAGGTAGGCTTAAAAGTACTCCGATCATTCTGATTTGTGAACGGTTTCTTTCAAAATATTTCCAGGCATCTGCTGTGTTGCCAAGAAGTAGCAGTAGATGGTCAACAACTTTGGAGAGGCTAGTTTCATAAAATGACCAATCATCACTTTGCTGGGAAAACTCAATTATAGAAATTACATTTGGTAAAATGATGGTTTCTTTTAACTGCCTAGATAGCTTTTCAGATACACAACATGCTTTTTGCTTTAGAGAGCAATGGATGTCCTATTTCCAGGTTGACTCCCTAGTTAATTAGACTGTTCAAGACCAAATATTCTATTGAGCATTCATTTATTCACGATACCTTTAACCATCCACTAACTGGTTATTCTATGCAAACAATATCTGATGCAGAAGACAGGCATGAAGATTCAGAAGGATATCCCCTCTTCCAGTGTTGGCTGAGAATACTTAGAAAATTTAGTCAACTCTCTTTTCTAAATCTTCCCGCTGCCCTTTGCCATGAGATAGAAGACTTTCCGTCCTCAAGCTTTATGCTGGGGACAGAAAGAATAAATAGGTGGTTTGCGTGTTGCCCTTAGTATGATTAGCTACATTTCTGGCCCCTTTATGATGTACAGAAAGGGTAATTTATGATGGTAGATTGACCTCTGAGTTGTGTTTCATGTTTTGTCCAGAATTAGATCAACTTTTTGGAAAAGGAGCCAGTTTGTCCTTGTGCTGTTCCCTTTCAAAGACTTATCCTGTTCCAGGATTTTTTAGCCATGTTGCTCGGATATTGCATATGAATTTTACTAAAGTCAGTCTCAGTAAGAATAAATGCAAACAGGCTAGCAAACAAGCTTTTGCTCCACATTAAAAAAAAAAACAGAGTCTACATATAATTGCTCACTTGTCATCAGCAAAAGAAAGCAGAACCACCTTCTGTTGTATATGCTATCAGTTTCATGAGAATACTTTAATAGAGGTGTTTATTTACATTAGAGTACCTGTATGTAAGCTAAACTGAAATATAATATAATTATTATCATCCATATATATGTATGCAAGCTGATCATCACAGTTTATCATTCCTGAAAATTCCAGTTTCCTTTCTCTCATTGTACAAAGTTTTTTTTTTTATGGGAAAGAATTAAAAAAACAACAAGGTGCCAAGTTATCTAATTGATCTAATTTATCTTTAAATCATCTTAAAGATTGCATACTGCATAATAATGTAGTGGCATTTACATCATTTCAAAGCATAAACTGGGAAAACAAGTAAGTGGAAAAAATTTCTCTGCAGGTTCATATCAAATAACTCTTTATTTACATTTGATAACATACAATATAGCAACAATATCAATAGTATACAATTCTATCTGACCAAAGAGTTAAGCCCCCCCCCCCCCCCCCCCCCAAAAAACCCTGAGTGCCTTTGCAATGCTGCCTTTTCATGACAATTTTTTTACTTTGAAAATTGGCATTGTATTCTTTCCTTTATGGAGAAAGAATGGGCAACATACATTCCACATCTCCATGTCTCATCAGCCTTGGTCCACATAGCCAGTGATAAGAAGATAAGGGATGCAGTCTACCAACCCCTAGTAGGATGCTGGTTGCCTGGGTCTTCACTAGATGGAGGCTGCCCTTACTTCCAGTGTCATTGAACATCTTCATCACTATAGAGGTAGAGCTACGCAAAAGTAAAAATAGGTACAGCAGCCTAGTATAAAACACAGGTATATAAGAACTCTGGATCAGTGGTCCCCAACCTTTTTTGTACCAGGGACCAGTTTCACCCAGAAACACTTTTTCAAGGACCGGGGGGGTGGGGGGGTAAAAGAGGCGAATAGTTATTATTCTCAGCCAAAGCTACTCCGAAACAACCAGAAACGAAGGCAGGCAGGCAGGCAGAATGGAGCACTGGATTGAACTGTGGGTGGCGGGGTGGGGGTGAACGGGCGCTTCGGAGGAGCTGCGCCGACAGGAAAAGCCACCCTGCTGGCTTCTTTGAAGCAGTTTCTTCCTGGGCTGGTGGAGGAGCGAGAGAGCGACTGAGAGAGGAACCCGGCGGGAGGAAACCGAAGCCGCTGAGCCGGAGAGCAGGACAGGCTTTGGTTGCTTCCTCCCTCCCCTTCTTTCATTTGTGTCCTTGATCCCTGATCCCAGCAGCATTCACCGAAAGCGAAGAAAGCCGCCATTTTTATTTTATTTTCTTTGCGGCCCGGTACCAAATGATCCACGGACCAGTACTGGTCCGCGGCCCGGTGGTTGGGGACCCCTGCTCTGGATTGCACATTGATTCTGATTTAGCTGCTTAAATTCAGTGGATTTCCAGTGGGAATTAATTGAATACATCTGTCTACATTTTATAGCTTTAGAACATGACTTGAAAGCATCCCTGGATGTATTGTCTGAATATTACAATTGGTTTTTAGCTGTGATGGCAAACCTATGGCATGCCCCAACCAAACTTACCTGCACTGTGCGTGTATGCACCTCCCAGAAGTGGCAAAACGGGCCCATTTTTCAGCCTCCAAAAGCTGCAGAGGCTTCTCTCGAGCCCCCGGGAGGGCAAAAATGGCCTCCCCTGGGCTCCAGAGGCCTCCGGAGGCTGAAAACGGGCACTTCTGGTATTTCCAGAAGGCCTGTTTTTTTGGCCTCCCAAGGCTGCAGAGGCTTCCCTCGAGCCTCAGGGAGGCTGAAAAAGGCCTCAAAAGGGCTGAAAATCAGCTGGGAGGTGCGTGCATGTGCAGTGCAGTTAGGGGATGTGAGTGGTGGTATTGCACAAGCATGCACAGGGGGTCAGGATGCATTACCTTCTGAGTGTCAGCACATGAGCCCAAAAAGGTTAGCCACCACTGGTTTATTGCTTAGGCAGAGAAGAGGAAGAAGATGATTGGTCCATCAGCTGTGCTGATTTCAAAAAGGCAGCCATGCAGGTTGCATGTGAACATTTGGCATTTATATACCTATCTATACATTTGAGTATTTTGGTTCTGTCAACAGATCATGATTTGTGACCCAATAGCAAACTATAATCAGAATTGCAGTACAATATCATGCAATAAAATGACTCCTTTGTACTGCAGATAACAGATAACAGATAATCAGAGTTGGAAGGGACCTTGTCAGTCTCTAGTCCAACCCCACTACCCAAGCGGGAGACCCTACACCATTTTTGACAAATGGCAGTCCAATCTCTTCTTGAAAGTCTCAAGTGATGGCGCTTCCATAACTTC